TTCACACAGGGATGCTATTAATTATTGAACAGATAACAATATTTGAGTCTGACCTTCTGTTGCAAACTGTCTGTGGGCATTCTTGTCAAAATTCTAAACCAAAAATTCCTAGTTATTTCCTAACTGTATCTTTGTTCCATTTCATTAAAAAATGTCTTCATTTTATGGTACCGTTTTCTCTACATGTTCTAATTATTTTAACTCTTTCCTCTAAGTCTGCAGTCTGCTGTTTAATCCAGGAATGACAGTATTTGATTCTAGTCAATTTAAAATGCCAGGCCAGCGTTTTTCTTGGTCTACATTTACGTTCAATGCAGCTGGACAAGTGACGGCTTCACTGTGTCCGTGGAGTCACAGCCAGTGCTGTCAGGCCTTGGGAGACACCTCAAAGTGAAGATGCAGGGGTCACTGAACCATCAGCCATCGAATCCAACGTAACATGAGTCTCTCATGAGAAACACATGATACTCCCATAGAATTTGGGAAGAAAAAACACCTAGTTGACCCAGTTTTCTTATACTTACACCTTTCTAGCAAAATAGGGAGCTCTGGCCGTGCAGCCCATAGGGAGCTGTACTGGCCACTGACCCAAGGCAAGGCCTCCCTGGTGGTTCAAGTTCATCAGTGGCTCCTCGGCAGAAAGGTGGGGGAAATCCTCCCGATCCGCTTACAGGCTCTGTGCAGGTCAGCAGGAGTCAGCAGCACCCCAAAGGCAATGCATGGATTTCGGGTTGAGAGGTACTAAAATGCACTGAAAACTAAGCACAACTAGTAAGGGGTAGAGAAAGTATTCTAATCAAGTATCTATTCACTACCTTGTATTTAAAAATGCAGATTCTTCAGTAGCCTGCGGTCACACTGTCTGAGCCCCTCAATCTTAGGCTTTCAACATTCAGAGGGGGAAAGCAGAGACCACCCCATCAAACTGCATCAAGTTGGAGGAAAAAAGAAAACTTTAAACGTTCAAAGGCCAAATCATTTGAAAACAGAGGAGCGCTCTTCAGCAGTGGCTGTACCCCCCATGCTGCTGTCAGAAACCCGGCTGCGGCCTTGATTACATCGGTTAAGTCACCAAAGCCTTTGTTTATTTATGTATATGAAATATTTGGAAAAGGAAAAAGTCAAACGTAAACCACCAGATGATTCACGTAGTAACTACCTATAAGATCACAGCTGAAAGACGTGGGGTCTCACTAGCTCTTTATGTTATGGACACATTTGTAATTTTTTTTTTGTTTATCTCTTTATTGTTTCTCCTTTTAACATTTGTGAATTTTTAACAAGATTAAAAAATTCTTTAGTAAACATTCATTTGGTTTATGAGTGCATCCAATCTGAAAGTGCTTTTAACATTTAAGTTTCTCATTTTAGAAAACATTTCCTCCCGACAAGTAAGGCGCCGAGAGCGCTAAGTGCTCTCTGCAAGTTCTCCTTATGGAAACGTTAGGAATCCGAGGGCATAACATCACGCGGTTTGTCCTGACCTACCTCTAATGGCAAAGGATCTGGAAACAATTAGAAACTAGGAAGGTATCTCCAACAGTTCACTTGAGAACAAAATCTGCTATCCATCAAGGAGCACAAAAGGCTCAGAATAGTGTAATGGAAAAATAATGTCCACACAGAGGGATATGGACTGCTACCCTCACATCTTACAGTAAAGCAAAACCAACACAGAGCCGGGAAGCAGATGCCATCAGGCCCTGGTGATTTAAAGACCCTGTAAGACAATGGAATGTGTGGACACATGTCAGTGGATCCTGTCAAGCATGGTACATACCTATCAACTACGTCCCTTCAGTTCACCTGAAATCAAAGTGCCCCCGTAGGGAACTCCGTGGGGTCACGAGCGATCGGACCTGACTGAAGAGCAGTGGGTTTCATTCTTCAAAGCTCCTACTGAGAGCGGCTCCTCACTTTGGACATGTTACTGACATAAAGACTCTTCATTGTTCATTTATTTTTTTTTCTCTACCATAGGGTGTACACAGAAAAGGAAATTACCAAAATATAGTAAAAAATGGTTTTATTTTGGGGGAATAAGGAAATAGGAAATTTCAGAAAAAGGAAAAATAATTGTTACTTCCCCTCCCTCAGATCATAAGCTCTACACAGAAAATCAAATCCAGAATGCAGTGAAAATTATTTTGATAGCTGAGTGATTAAAAAGACACCATTTTCACAAAGAATAGTTTCATTTTAAAATAACATACAATCTTTTGAACATAGGAGCCCTTCTAAAACTTGAAATATGCCTTCCTCCAAGACAGAAAATTCCCCCGGCGGCAGGAGGGCAGGGACTTGATGGCATGTCCCTTGGAGTTTAAAAGTCTGCCCATACGAACTGAATTATCGCTGACATGCACCTTCAGACATCTGCAATGCGATCTCAAGTAAATCTAGACCATATTTGGGGCACAAACCATTGAAAATCCTCAAGTGTATTTAGGAGCTCAAGGAAGAAGGAAGGAAAAGGTGATAGCCTTCATAGTGGGGAGAGACTCACATGCAATTTCTAAAATGAAAAACTGAAAAAACCTAAGTGTCGAATGTGCTGAACAAATGAAAATCAAGCAGCAGCAAGAAACGCTGTGGCCTCCTTTCTCTGCCAAGGGCTCACTACAGATTCATCCATGGCTTTTTAAAATTGGCATAAGAAAAACAAAATGCAAACAAATAAGCAAAAAGAAAATTTGTCTTCGTACAGGGAACCATCCTGGCTACACGGGAGATGCGGGTTAGACAACCTCTTTGCTTTCGTGTTGTGAGGATCCATGCACCATGGTCACGGGGTAGATGCCCTGCTCTGAGGAGTGCTAACACAGCTCACTGTAAAAACGTGGACTTGTCAGTGGGCGTGCAGAGCTTAAGGGCTCAGCTGCAAACAGGAAGATTGGCAGTTTGAACCCACCAGTATCTCCTCAGGACGAAGACGAGGCAGTTTGCTCTGTAAAGCTTCACATTCTTGGAGAACGACCCAACAAAAGTGGGTCTGGGGCTTAGCAAGAACTCTCAGAAGGGAGGGCCTTAAGTGACGCACAAAGTACACCATTTGGAAATCTGCCGCTTTAAGGATTCTTGATGCCTGTCTTGGGTCTTGGCACAAAGACAGCCCCAGCTCCCCAGGGGCCCTGCATCCTGGAAGAGGTGCATTAAGGCGGCAGGGAAGACTCGCCCCGCCCCTGAGAGCTGACCAGGCCCCGTGCAAAGCAGCATTAGGAGACTCCTTTGCTGCTGCCCTCTGCTCTGCTAATGGGCATAAAAGGGGCCGAATCACCTGGAGCCCAAACAGCAGCAGGACATGGTGGATCGTTCATTCAGTACTGTGGGTCCTACGTCCAAAGTGTGGTGAGACCCTGGAACAGCTCATGACTCAGAGAACGTAGGTCTTCAAAGGGAAACTGTGGCCTCTCCAGCCCTGCCCTCCTCAGTCTGACTTAAGGAGGACTGTCCATTTTGTTTCTTTAAACACATTTTATAGAACATGATGTTTCCGTTTAACAGAAAATAACAAAACCATTGAAGTTCTTTTTTTCTTAAATAAACATTTCAAAGTCACTTAAATGAGGTACATTAATCAATTACCTCTTTGAAATATTTAAACATACTGAATTATTTAAAAATGCGACTTAAAAATCAAACCGAGAGGCATATTTATAACGCTGCTTCTCTGGAGCGTTGCAGGAAAGTGCACTGCTAGGAGGGCTTAAATTTCTCACTCTTCCTCTCAATCAATATCTGAGGCCAAGTTTCATCTCCAGGGCTCTTAATGGCAGGAATTCCTGGAGCCAGTAAATGAGTAATGTTAGAACTATGATTACATGATGAGCCCATCGAAGACACGAGCCCCTAATGCTTCACTCCTGGCCATTTCTCTGAGCTGCAGTGGAATCTGGACTGAGGAAGAAGTCGGAGGTTCTTTTTATCCTTCACATCATTTTTCTTTAACGTGCACCGTGATGAGCCGACAGGGTGCATAGTTCAACTCAGAATGCTTCTTGAACTCGGGACTTCATTGCTAAGAGGAAAGGCTCAGAGACTGCAGACAGACTCTCACAGAGATGCAATTTTTAACATCTTCCTTATTCATATCGTTCTTGGCTAAAAAGGAGCCCGAGGCCATGGTCATCTTGTGGATGTATTCCAGAAGTCAGCGCAGGCTGGGAACCAGTGGGTAAGTTAACCTCGTTGGTTTGCTTGCTTTGAGCAGATCCGCTGAATTGCTCGTTCTTTGCTGGGGACTCAGCAGTGGGTTCAGGCAGGCCTCAGGAGAGCAGCTGCACAGCACAGCCCAATGTTGTTTTTTCTTTTTATTGAGGAAATCTGGGCTCTGTTTACTAAGACTTACTAGAGTCTTCCCTGTGCTCCTTTTCCAGCCTATCATTACAGTTATTTACTATTTCTTTGATCATCAGGGTCACTGAGACCTCTGACAGAAACCGTGACAAGAAAAAGGAACCGCCCTCCATTTTGGTTATCAAGAAAACCGTAATCCCGCGGCTGCTTAGGGTCTGGCAATCATCAAGGAGGAAGAGTAGTACCCAAAAAGATTTTTACAATTCACACTGACATCTAAAAACCACCCACAAAAGGGGGGTGGGCAACAAGGTGGCAGATGATGGTGAGAATGAAATCAGCCTATTACTTTCCTATGCGCTAATCTAAGAACAAACCGAGCCATTCCAAACACAACGCTCTGCTGGGCCATGTTCAAGAGTGGGGTGTCAGGAGGGCATCGAGGCCTGCCTAGGAAAAGGCCTCCGTGTAGAGATGGAAGGATGCGGGACCTCTCGGAGGAGCGGGAAGGGAGGGATGGAGAGCGAAGAGAACGGAAGTTAGGACTTATGTGGAAACATCGTTTTCATGTGAAAGTATCTCAACAGAAATGGCTTTCTGCATGTATGGGCTACAAGATGGAAATAGTAACAGTATACACATATACACACATATTCTCTACATGAGAAAGCTCCCCCAGGGGAGAGTTGAGGGCGGGCTCATACCTGAGAGCAGAGCAGCATGACAAGCTCCACAACGGACGTGCTGGACTTCATGCACACCAGGCCTGCAGAGAACAAACAGGGCACACAGTGAGGCCGCAGCTCAGGGCACCTGCTCCCGGATCCCTCGGGGCAGGACCTGCGGGAAACCCCACAAAACTGGGCAGCGATGTCTGCTTCTTCAATTCTGATATTCAAGATGTGACCAGCAGGAAAACTGACAACATGTTTAGACCATTTGTTAAAACCAATTCTATTTAAACAAAGGAAAGGTGAGGGTTAGCCCTGGTGGCACAGGCGCGGAGCACTCAGCTGGCAAGTGCAAGGTGGGCATTTGAAACCGCCAGCTATGACCATCTGCCCCTCAGTGCGACCTGGGACTCCCTGGGGCAGGTCTCCGTCCCACAGCGCCACGTTGTGACTTGGAGTCAGCTGGATGGCTGTGGGGCTGAGCTTGGAGAATGCTGACAAAACTATGGCTTTGGTTTTGTTTCTACATTTTCATGGTATCTGCTGGAACTAAGAACAATCTGTGAAGATCTGCTCATGTTTTCTTCTATCAGGCAAAACAAGTGATTTCAAAAAGCTCCTTCCCCCATACTGTCAGGTCTAAGTCATTTTGAAAGACAATTCAGAGAGTGAATTCCATATGCAATTTTGTTGTTCTTAGGGGATCAAGTTCACTGATTTGCAACAATTCTATGAACAACAGATCTGAAACTGGCCTATCCTGTGCCGTCCTCACAAGGCTCTTTATCCCTTCTCTCTGACCCGCACCTTTCCAAGTACTACAGAGAGCTCTCCTTAATCACAGCTCTCTGGTTTAGCCTGTGCACGTCCTGCAGGGGTGAGGGGAGGAGCAGGAGAGGAAGTGCACTGAGGACTTCCTCTGCAAAGGCCTCATGTGGTGTGATATGGAGAATCACCCCGATTCTATAGGCAGGAAACAGTCCCGTCACACACACAGTGTAAACAGGAATCATTCCCAACTGACAGATGGGTTCTTTCTAACAGTTTATACAGTAAGAAAAACTAAGTACCCAAAGCACTGTGGTCAACAGATGCTGACTCACGGTGACCCTGAGGCGGACGGTGACTGAGGAGGATGGTGGCTCTGAGGGCACAGTGACCTGGAGGGGGACAGTGGCCCTGAGGGGGGTACAGTCACCCTGAGAGGGATGGTTACCTGGAGGACCCAGAGGGGACAGTGACCCTGAGGGGGACAGAAATCCTGAGGTGGACGGTGACCCTAGGACAGTGACCCTGAGGAGGATACTGACCCTGAGGGGACAGTGACCATGAGGGGGATGGTAACCCTGAGGGTGACGGTGACCCTGGGGGGACAGAGACCCGGAGGGGAACGGTGACTCTGAAGGGGACAGCGACTTGGAGGGGGATGGTGACCCGGAGGGGGACGGTGGCCCTGATGACAGAGAAGCCCTGCCCCAGTGTGTGTCCTCAGCCACTTCCCCCTGCTGACCAATGCTGGGTTAGAAGCACCAGCCTTTTGGTTAGACGATAACAGTTTAACCACAGTACCAGCAGAGTCCTGCAATAAGAAAGCAGAGCGTGATTATTCATTTCCTTTAGAGTGTTAACGCAGAGGAATAGGAATCAGTAGCTGGTAATAAGACCTCTAGATGAAAACATACTATTAAGATGTAAGCTAACTTTAAAAAAATAAAAGTTTCTCCTTGATTTTTAAATGAAAATAACTCAACAAATAGGTCTATTTTCTTCTTCTCCAAGTACACACGTAATCAGCTGTATGCACAGAAACGCCATGACCTTACATTAGTTGTTGCTAAGTGCTAAGTGGACAGGAAACCAGTTGTTTTGTTTTCTTCTTACAGTGATTTCGCTAACTGATCCCAGACGTTGGCATGGATACTTACTGAGGGTTGAGGATAAATACCCTTTTGTGCCACTTTGCTAACAACCCTCTCCTTGTTGCACGGAGAGCACAATTGTAAAAGGGTACTAGGATTCCATCTCATTAGCTCTGTGGGTAGACAGCTAACTAATGGAATAAGAGGTGGACGTCAACAGTTCATTTAGGAGACACTGTGGTAATTGATCAGCGCCTCCTGGCTCACAGCTACACAGCCAGAAAGATTAATGCGACCCTTGTCACCTGTTGGCGACTAAACTGTTAGAGGTCTGAAAAAAGGAAAACCCAAACCCAAGTTAAAGGCCGAAAGGACTAGGCAGCAAAAAGAGAATTCATGCTCATGTTTCATATTGCTTTATACTTTAGGCTGTGAGGCTTTGATCTAAAGAACGAGTCATTAGAGGCTGTGTATCAGCATTTCTTAGTATGTCACAACTTGTAGGAACATGATGCAATTGCACTCACTCCTGATGGATATTTACATTGATAACTTTTACATACAGTATCACTTGATCGTAAGAAAATATCAAAAAAGCACGCTATGTTTCAAAGCAAGTGGCACTCATGTGGCAAGTTATGTTGTTGGGGACCCCCGAGGTGAGTGTGACTCACAAGTGTCCCACGAAAACCAGATGAGAACTGTCCCCAGTCCTTTCCCATACCCACCATGGCCACCATGCCCACGCCCACTGATGTCCAGGCCACCCTTCTACGGGTCTTCCTCTAGTTCTCTGATGTTCATTCCCAAGTGGAAAGGCAGCAAAACGCAGCCAGTGAACAGCATCATCAAGTTTTGAAACAAGCTAGTGTTGAGTTCAACATCACAAATCACTCACCCCTACCCAAGTCTGACCAGGTATTTTTTAACAAAATGAAATGGTTGATCACACTTAAAAGGAAGGAAGGGAAAAGGCCAAGTAGCTGAGATAAAGTCATCACAGAAAGAAGTAAAGAAAGGAGGCCCACCAGGCTCTCCAAGGACAGTTTCCCTCCGTTAGAACAGGAATCAGTAGCACACACACCGCTGCACACACAATGAAAAGGGTAAGTGCTAAGGGTTCAGGAGAGATACCAAAAATTACAATCAGGGTCTGGTAACACCCTTCCTTGCACATTTCCTAAAGAAAGCAGAGTCTAGATCTGAAACTATCTATAAGAACTATGACTTTGTCTAATATTAACCACAAGCTTCGAAACAGAATCTAGTGATGCTAGAACCAAGCCAGAGTCTGCGCCTGTCTCAGCCTCACAGTTCATACATCTGTCTCAAGCAGGTTGAGTTTTCTGTTTCTGTGACTCAGGAGAAGGCCATAATCAGATTAACTCACTCAGTGTTTCCTCAAAGGAGCCAGTGCTCAGGGCCTTAAAGAGGCCACAGATAGAGGATACTGTCGGAAACTTAGCAAGTGCTGTGTATTGTATTTTAAATCCAAGTTTATGTAGCCTTCATGTAGAGTTTTAGAATTTATTAAAAGAAATACACACACAAACACAAACACCACAGCACTTAATGTGACAGGCGTCGTGGGGGCTGTACCTGAGGGTGCCTTGCAAGGACAGAACAGGCTGAGGCCTGTGGAAGCTCCAAGGCTGTCCTCTGAACAGAAGACAACAACCTTCTCTCAAGAAGGGCTGCTGGGTCCAGCCTCTGTTCTTGTGATTAGTGACTGAATTACATCTGAGTCTCTAACAACCCTCTAAAACTTTTCATTATTATCTCATCTGAAAGACAGAAATGAAGACATTGAGAAATGGACTCAAAAGGCTTCTGTCACTAAGTGAGAGTAGGGCCCGCCGGATCATTTCAAGTTGACTTGAGGTGAAGACAAGTTGCCTTCAGGAGGCGGGTGGTGAGGGCTTGATCGCTGCTGCTGAGTAAGGGACGGCTGAGAGCAACACCGGCATCAGAGCTGATCCCTGCTCCATCCCCATGGTCCGCAGGATCTCTGATGTGCTCACGTCCACTGCCACGGGCACCATACCAACCAGCCTTGTTGGAGGTCTTCCTCTCTTTATCTGACCTTTTACCCTTCCCAGCATGATGTCCTTTTCCAAGGACTGGTCCCTCCTGACAAAGTATGTGAGATGAAGTCCCACCATCCTTGCCCCCGGGAAGTTCCTTTGATGCACTTCCCCAACTCAGACCTGCGTGCTGCTTTGGTGAGCAATGGGATGTTCCACACTCGTTTCAACACCACAATTCAAAGGCATCAATTCTCCTTACTCATGGGCCATTTTCAGATGTACTGGAAGTGAATGGGAAAGACCCCATGGTTTGGATCAAGTATCCCTTGGTCTTTAAGCTGACATCGTGGCTTTCTAGCATTGTGGAGAGGTCCTTAACAGCAGGTTTTCCGTGCAATAGAGCTTTTGATTTCTCTACTGCTTTACTCTGGGTGCCGACTGTAGGTCCAAGTAAAAGGAAATTGCTGACAACTTCAATCTTATCTTCATTTATCATGATATTGAATATTGGTCCAATGGGAAGGACTCTTTCTACTTCAATTTTGAGCTATAATCCATATTGAAAGGTGTAGTCTTTGACCTTCTGCAGCTACAAGACCCTTTCACATTCTTCAAGGGAGGTATATCATCTGCATAATGCATGTTACTGATGAGACTTCCTCTGATCTTGATGCCACATTCCTCTTCATATAAAGGCTAATTTTTTAAGATGATCTGCTCTGCATACAGATTGACTACATATGGGGCAAAGATACAGTTCTGATGCACATCTTTCCTGATTTTTGAAGCGTGAAGATGGCTAAGTCCAAGTTAGATGATTCTTGAAGAAGGTGGAAGCTCATCAGATATGAGGCCAAAGGCACTCAATGAAGTCAAAGTCCTGGAACCACATGGAACAAAGATAGGAGGGAAAGGACCTCTGGAGCTCGAGGAAGGGATGACCAGAGCAGAAGGCATGTACGAAAGGGAGACTGAGGGACCAGGGAAACTCAAAGGTAGACACAGACTGTAAGTAAGGGGACTACGGACAACGGTGGAAGTCAGGATGTGGCTATGAAGGGGGGGAGTGCTATTGGAAACCAGTGATTCCTGTGTTCTCAAGGAAACAGCAGCCGCTCAACAGAGTGCTGTTTGTGATGATGAAAGAGAAGTGGGCACAGGTAGAGGTGACGGATGCACAAGGGCCTGGAGAGAGTCCATACCACACTT